AACTATTAATTTATCTCTTGTTAGATACTAAACAACTGTCCAGTATTTTTGATATCAAAATATCTCTTTTTCTCTTCCAGTAAAACATTCAAATATTTGTGATGACTGTACTATGTAGTGAACATTCATTCTCTTATGTTCTCTTAAATTAATTCAGTGTGGGTCTTAGGCTAAGGCATTTAAAGGCATCCGTATACTCCAACCAAAGTGCTTGTCAGATGGTCGCACAAGTGATTGTGTACCGTTATCCCCATTTGAATCATTGTTGTCGTTGGGCCTCCTCTCTGTTATGGCCAACTTTTCACCCCACCTTCATGTGAAGCCCTTCAGAACAGCTGAAACACTTCTGTGTCTTCTTGTTCATACTAGTTTGTTAGGAGCTTACCCCCACCTTTCGATGTTGACCATGTAGACCATTAGAGTATGGTTGGGGATGTTTGCTGCAAGTCATCACCCCTCTACCGCTCTCCTCACTTGCTTTCCGCACTACACTTTCAACATTAATACTACTTTACTATACTTACTTCTTCAACTGCACCTTATTAGAATTAGAAAGAAAGAGCTCTGGATGAGAAGTAGGAGGAACGCAAACAAGGTAGAAAGACTGAGCGAGGGAAGGACATAATGTGACAGTACTGGGCGGCTCTGGCAGCCAGCACTCTCTACTGGCTACACAGGAATGCAACAGACACATACATGTACACACAGGAAACAAAAGTATAAACAGGTGTGTGTGTGTGTGTGTGTGTGTGTGTGTGTGTGTGTGTGTGTGTGTGTGTGTGTGTGTGTGTGTGTGTGTGTGTGTGTGTGTGTGTGTGTGTGTGTGTGTGTGTGTGTGGATGGTCAATCTTGGGCTCAGGGACATAGTTATGTGTGTATAAACATGAAAATGCAATGGGAGGGAAACAAAGCAGCCGTGTGCATGCTGCAGACAGTAGTGTATAGACACACTGTGGACATGTTAAAGAATGGCATAAATAATTGTGTGGCCTTGGCATTTCCTGGCTTTGAGAGCTGACTGTGCACACGGTCGCTGCGTGGTCCTACTTTTAAAGCATCTATCTTTTGAGTTTGTTTCCTCGCAACAAATACAGTTGGCCAGTGTGTCTGAGAAACCGCAGGCAGAACGGGCACAGAATGGCTGCACAAGGAAAAAACTCCTGTCCTCAACCCTTCCTTGTACTCTTAGAACAAAGACATGTTTTTATTGCATCAGTTGTTACACTGATAGACTGACAGATTATACTCCTTTGCATTATATTACAAATGAAATGGTCCTCATGGTAGTAACTGTTTTGAAACTGACTCTTGTCAAACCTGTGCATTTTGGTGGAGATTGGACAAAGTACCCTGAAGTTATGACAACTTCCTGTTTTGTGGTAAAGCGTAAATTTTCGGCGCCACACCACAGACAACAACCTTTGGCAATTTTGATAACTTTTTCACCTTTCCACTGTGATTATACTGACCAAATTTGGAGTTGATCCAATGTTTGTTCGTTTTTAAAATACGTTTGCAAAAAATGGCCCACTAAAAGGGAGAAATGTTTCTTTTTTAGGAATCACTTGGGATGTCCCAATCAAATGTTTTGGCCGTGATCCTCATCTGAGTCCTTTATATGACCTTTTATATACAGCGTTATACAGAGAGGTGTTTTCTGTTATTTACCCTTGTTGATATAAATGGGGTGGACAAAATAATGGAAAAACCTGTCAGTGTGACTCAACAGCATCACATACTGCAGCCCCAAAATAATCATACAGTTGAATGAACACCTCTCTAAAACAGCACTAACTAAACCTCATAGCCTTCTTGAAGGGAGGATTTATTATAGAACTATTGTATTGTGCCAAATAAATAGTGTAAATAGCTTGTAGCGCAGTCACAGTCCAGTAATAAGTTGCCACAAATGTAAATGAGAAAAGTGCACCAGAGAAAATGAATTAAAGCTATAAGAAAATAGAAAAGTACCCATTGCACTGCACATGATGATCAGCAGGAAGCTGCTTCCATCTGTGCGCAGCGTAGTATCTAAATGCAGTTTTACCATTTTGGCTCTGACTGGATGTACCTCGGTCTTGACTGATAAGCAAGGCTGCTGAGTGATTTATAAACTAGCAGCAGCACTTTAAAATCTTCTAAAATGATCCTGGAGCCATTGTAAAGATTTAAGAGTAGGAATAATGTGCTCAGTTCTCCTGGTTCTTGTAAGAAATCTGGCAGCAGCAGCATGCTCAATGTGCTGCAGTTGTATAATGGTCTTTTTGGGCAGAGCAGTGGAAAGGCCATCCCAGTAGTTCATAAATGATACTTTGTGCATATGTTATAATAGTGGCAGAGCACCTAGTCTTCTATATATTTATGGTGTAGAACTACAACCCTTTGCTTAAGATACTAAGGATTCAGTTATTGACGATTATCGTACTATTGTCATAATATCAAGTTACTCGGGGAATCAGCTAAACGCTTAAGGAAAAAAAAATAATATGAAATAAATTACAAACTGTAATGACTATAGTAATAAACACGCACGGCAGGCATAAGACTTTCATTTAAGACTGCTGTTACTGCGTGTCGCCAGCAGGGCACCTGAATGCCGGCTCTGTCGGAGAGGCCGGGCAGAGGTCTGAGTTAAAATGTCTTTGCAGTGAGGTCATATGCCATTCGGGGGAATTTCCTCATCTAGGTGTGGGTCGCTCGATCGGAGAGGGAAAGACAGATATCCAGTTGTGTTTATCTCACACTATGCAGTCCTGTTTGTTTACGTGTTTAATATTGTGAAAAAGACAGGAAGATAAAGGCAGTTATTTTTTGTCTTGTTCCCCCACCACACCATGTAATTCATTTTTGATCTGCAGGTGGGGGACAGATCAACTAGATCTATACACCTGCCACCTAACAACATATATAGGACAGTGTTTTTATGAAGATCACCAATGAGGTGAATTTAAGTTAAAGCTATTATTAGAGAGGATTTACTAATAAATAGATAATACTCGACAGGCTGCAAGCAGAAATAACATTTTGTTGTATAATGGACAAGCTCTGGTTGAATACTAGTGCAGTAACAGAAAAAGGGAGAATGCTTGATATAATAGTCGGTTACTGTCTGTGCTGTTTCACTACAGTGACCTATTTCTTGTAATATTCTGTAGTGGTGCTGACACTTTATTATGACGTATGATATTTGTTTCCCCTTTTTTATTATGTGGATATAAATCCCAACATTTGAAGCTGTAATCAGAATCACAATTGGTTCCTGTGTCTTGCTACAACCTAAGTGCGTGTGAAGGTGTGTTGAGCTGAAAAGCTTTTAAGATCTCCTGCTTTAAATTAGGACCAAAGGAATGATTGGCATTATTTAATAAAAGGCCGTAAACGGGAAAGGAATGCTGTGCATGTTTCCTCCTTTACATTTTTGCCGCTGTGTCTCAATCCTAAATAAATTACACGGCAGCTGATGAATAGAAAATGCCAAAGTGGTTAACCAACATTTTTCACATATGTGACCTAAATACCTCTGGGCTACAGTGACCCACCTGTTGGAGCCAGGGATGAGCTCGCCATGTATGATTGAAGATGGAGATGAGCCAACAGGCACATAATTAAATGAAAAGCCATTTGACACAAAGTGTGAGGAAAATGCAATCAACTTGATGCCTCAGGAGAAGTTCTGGAAACTGCTTAGCCACACAGTTATTTTCATTCAGTTGGTAATAAAACATTTATTATGGTTTTTTAATATTTTTAATATCTTGTGCAAACTACATCAGGCATTAATAATGTGGGCGGTGTATCATTGATGAACGGAAACTCCCATATCCAAGATTTGAGAGTTGGCTGCCAAACAGGAATCTTTTTAATGGAGTGTGCCAAATTACCTTTTTCTTTTTGCTTGTCTTCTGTGTTTGATTTTTTGCATTTTGAATTTCAATTTGACAACGTAACTGACTGAAAATAAAGAATCTCAATCTGTTTCCTAAATTATGCTGAAATGAACAAAACCACCAGCAGGGAACAAAAGAATGCATTCAGAATCATAAAATACTACATATGCTTTGAAAAATGGTGGGTGGTGATATAAGGTTGGTGCAGTTAGTGTTCGATAGACACTAAGACAAAAGAAACACCAGTGTAGTCTGTTAAAGGGAGCCCTGTCTGGTCATTCCCAGTGGAGCTTGTCTGTTTGTGCCACAGAGGTTCACACAGGACCACACCTTGCTGGCTACAACTACTTGATTCATTCACATGAAATAATTGCACCATTACACATTATCATGTAGTGGTATGATAATTGCCTTGACTCAGAGTTCTCTTTGAATGCTGACTAAAGAACTGTTCACTCATTATTTTCCCTACTTTAACCATTTCAGTTTCTTCGGTTCCAGTTTTTTCAGTTATGTTTTTACATAAAAAAAAAAAAAAAAATCCCATTTCTTGAAATCATTGGTTAAATGTCCAATGTCATTTGACCTCGTTTTTTTTTTGTGTGTTGTTGTGGCAGGCACAGGAAGTCACTGGTATGTGACCCCGAGTAGAGAGGATGCAGGTGTTTGAGCACCTACTGGGTCAATGTTTTTTTTACGTGTTTTTTTTTTGTTTTCACCTTGGCAGATTATCTTCCTTTTGAATTCATGTGTGTTGCAAGCATTGACATGCCTCGGTTTGTTTGTTTGTTTTTGTGTGATTTATTGCAGATGCCTGCAGTAATGTCTTTTAAAAGCTTGTGTTTAGGTTACTTGTTTGTTCACGAGAATGAAAAGCAGATCCTGACTGTTTGGCCAGATTTGTATTCTTGTTTACTTATTCTTGATCAAACAGTTCCTGATTTCATTTAACTCTTTCTTAGGCAAAGTTGTTATACAGCCAATTGTGCATTAAGCATTTCAAAACCTCTGCTTTTTATGTTGTAAAAAATGGAGTGTTATCGAACAGTAAGTGTCAAAGCAAGCTATCATTAAGTTTTGTAACATCTGTTTGTTTATGTGTGCGCTTCACAGGAGATGGCGGTTCGAGCGCTTAAGCAGACAGGAAGTAGGAATATCGAAGCGGCCTTGGAGTACATCAGCAAAATGAGTTACCTTGACCCTCGCAATGAGATCATCGTCCGTGTCATCAAGCAGACTTCACCAGGTATATAAAACCTCAATAAGCTGATTTTGTTTAGTGGATTAGAAAGTTCGATTACTACTGTTGCTTTGTGTTACTTAATCTTATTCCCTGTCCTTTCAGGAAAAGCTGGCATGCCAAACTCAATGGACCACCGACCTGCGTTAGAGGCTTCAGGTGACACAGGTGCCATGCCCCCGTACCACCAGATGGGGGCACCCATGTATGAGGGGGCAGCTGGATATGGCCCTGAGGGTGAGATGCCCAGACCCTACATGAACTACATGATGCCCCCGTCTAATGCAGCACAGGGCCCTGCCATGGGAAACCCGATGGGTCGACCTCCCAGTATGGGCACCTATCCAGCAGTGATGGCCACCCAGAGCAACCCCGCCAATGCCATGTACCCTCCAGGGGCTCAGCAGAAGGGCTACCCTGGCAGTATGGAGCAGCACGGGCCCATGATGAGCTACAATGTCCCTGGCCAACCTCTGCAGCTCCAGCCTCAGCCACCAGGGGGCCCTGTCCCAGGCCCCCATTATGACTACGGCCATGCCAGACCGCACATGATGGAGTCTGCAGGCTATGGAGTCAAAAGGACCGCCTCCTTCCAGAACAAAATGGCACCACCTCCCATGGCGCCCCCAGACAACTATGTAAACATGCAGGGGAAAGGGTCCATGGTCCAGAATGGTCCAGGAGGAGGAGGGGGAGGGTACCCTGCCAACCTGTACCTGCCCCCTCATTCCCACCCTCGGCAGGCCAGCCCTACCTCCCACCAGGTCCACATGATGTCTCGTTCCCCCGGTGGGGTGGCAGCCATGGGCCCTGACTTCTCCGATATGCCCCAGGGCTTAATGACACCATCCAGGGCCAGCCTCAACCTGGACCTGTATGAGCACCACTGGGCGGGGCCTCCGGGTCCTGAAGGGGCCCCTCCAACTAGGCAATCCCAACCCCAGGGCCCATTCAGGGGGGAGGTGCGTGTCCCCAGCAGAACCAACTCCTTCAACAGCCGCTCTGCAGGGCCCAATGGTATCCGGCCAGCAATGACTGCACCCCCCCCAGCTGGCAAACAGGACCCCTCCTTGGGTCCCCCAAACACCATCACGGCTGTAACGTCCCCGCCCATCCAGCAGCCGGTCAAGAGTATCCGTGTGATGAGGCCAGAGCCCAAGACGGCTGTCGGACCGTGTCACCCCAGCTGGATGACTGCTCAGTCCCAGGATGCAGGTGAGCCTCTGGCCTACATGCCAGAGGAACCATACCCTCTTGAGCCTGCCCAAGAGCCACGCTGCCCACCACCACCCTACCCCAAAAACCTGCTCATGTCAGGTGAGCCAGGGGCCCTTGAAGGAGCCGGAGCCATGTGCGGAGCTCAGGACCTCAGCAACCCTGCTGCCAGAAGCACACATAGCAGCAGTGGGGGGAGTGGAAAGGCCGAGGAGAGCCAGCAAGTGAAAGAGAAAACAAAGATGGGCAAGGGAGAAAAACCAGTGAAAGACAAGAAGCAGATCCAGACGTCCCCTGTACCGTTGAGAAAGAATGGACGTGATGAGGAGAAGAGAGAGTCACGCATCAAGACCTACTCACCTTTCGCTTTCAAGTTCTACATGGAGCAGCACATAGAGAACGTGATGAAGACCTACCAGCAGAAACTGAACCGTAGGCTTCAGCTGGAACAGGAGATGTCCAAGGTAAGACAGCCCTTTACTGAACTCCCTGCTCTGTCTTACAAACTCAAGTTAGTTGCTGAACCTTAATGACAAACAGCAATGAGATTGGCCTCAGGGTTAAGCAGTCTGTAAACTTGAAAATGAGCATGCAGCAGAACATCCAGCGCCCTTCAGCAATGCTCTGTGTGACGGTTCTACACATGCCTTGCATGTCCTGTAATTTGCATCACTGTTGCTATTCTGTGAGCCATTTGAATAACCTCATTTAAACTTTTGTCTGGAAAGCATCTTTAAATAGGAATTAAAGGACACCAGCGGTTTTGCGTGTTTTAGCCCATTTACTTCAAATTGTGTTTTCCAAGTCGTAGTATTTTTAGCACATTTCAGTAAAACAACAACAACAACAAAAACAAAAATGTACGACTTGCTTCTTGGACTGCATTAACTGAGTGATTTGTAGAATCGTTTGTAGAAAACAGCAAATTGTTCGCTGTGTAGATGATAAGGCTGCTCAATTAATCAAAATTTTATCATGATTACGATTTTGGGGCCAAGCGATCTCAAAACTAATAAAATCGGGGGGAAACAATTTTTTTTCTTTTTCATTTTCTGTTGTGCAACGTTGTATAGAAAAAAGCTGTTTCCCAATTCAGGGGCTGACATAGCCACAGTCTGCGTATTTCGCGCATGCGTTGTTTTCGTTTGGACAGGTAACAAGGAGACTTACAAATGTTTATGGGGAAAGGAAAGTGTAACTGAGGACTTCCTTGCAAAGTGTTTTTGACAAATGTCCAATAAATGCAGCATGTTTCTGAAGTTTAAATAAATAATTGTTTGAATAATCGTGATTTCAATTTTGACCCAAATAATCGTGATTATGATTTTTTCCATAATCGAGCAGCCCTAGTAGATGATCCTGTCTCAAGCAAGCTTTGGTCTCTTGAAGTTGATTTTCATAGTGCACTGAAAGATAATTAACCAATGGCGGGTTGAAAATCAATATAGAAACTCACCAATATGCTGTAGAAAATGGTCAGGAGCCCTTTGTAGTAACACTGGAAGAGTTCCTGGGTCTGTATGAGAATGATAATGGGGTGTACGGAGCAGTGACGTTCAAGAGGTTGTCATCCAGAGAATTCTCCTTCAGGACAAGACCTTTGTCCTGGAATGAGAAGTCAGTAAGTTCACTCTTGTGTTTGCATGAGTTTGTCCGGAGTTATGACTTTGGCCTCTGCCCTTTTGACCTACTTCAAAGTGATTGAAAGGCATTTTTAGAGGCGAAAAAATACCACAGCAAGACCCAGACAATTAGGTAACAGAATTAGTTCAATTTGACAACAAAGGTCAGGGCGCTGGGTTCAGCTCATGCCACATTCCTAGGTCATTAATAATCACTGTTTCTGAGACTTCTTTTGAAAGGGTTGTGTAGTCATTGTGTATTCCCGTCACCATCTTTCTTCATCCCCTCTCCTTCCTGCACAGGCTGGCCTATCGGAAGCAGAACAAGAACAGATGAGGAAGATGCTGAACCAGAAAGAGTCCAACTACAACAGGCTACGCCGTGCCAAAATGGACAAGTCCATGTTTGTCAAAATCAAGACGTTGGGCATAGGAGCCTTTGGTGAAGTGTGTCTTACACGCAAGGTGGACACTGGTGCACTTTATGCCATGAAAACACTGCGTAAGAAAGATGTCCTCAACCGCAACCAGGTAATTTAATACATTGTTGTCATATAGTACACAGTAATAGTATTTGAAGTAGTCTCTTGTTAAAGCCCTTGCATTTGTACCAGTTACATAGAGGCATTCACTTCTTTTTAACATGTTTAGCCAGTTTTTGCCTTTTTGGATATTATTACTGTTATTTAAATTGATGATGCCATGTCGTTACGCAGGTGGCCCATGTGAAAGCAGAGCGTGACATCCTGGCCGAGGCAGACAACGAGTGGGTGGTGCGTCTCTACTACTCTTTCCAGGACCGTGACAGCCTCTACTTCGTCATGGACTACATCCCTGGAGGAGACATGATGAGCCTGCTCATCAGAATGGGCGTCTTCCCCGAACCTCTGGCACGCTTCTATGTGGCGGAGCTGACGTTGGCCATCGAGAGCGTCCACAAGATGGGCTTCATCCACCGTGACATCAAGCCCGACAACATCCTTATTGACCTGGACGGACACATCAAGCTGACGGACTTTGGCCTCTGCACGGGCTTCCGCTGGACGCACAACTCCAAGTACTACCAGAAAGGTGAGGCAGTTTACCACACGGTCAAAATATCACACACACATGCACATACACACATGGTTAAAACAGTGTCAAAGAGATTCTGTGAGGATTCAGTGGATTCTGTAAATTTGCAACATATAATCCAGTGAGTTTCTGCATGGAGTTTAACAGCAGCATTCCCCCCTTCTTCTGTCTCCAGGGAGCCACGTCAGACAGGACAGCATGGAACCCAGTGACTTCTGGGATGACGTGTCAAACTGTCGCTGCGGGGACCGGCTGATGACACTGGAGCAGCGTGCCAACCGGCAGCACCAGCGCTGCCTGGCTCACTCCCTGGTGGGAACACCGAACTACATCGCACCAGAGGTGCTGCTGCGCAAAGGTGGGGAAAATACAATGGATCATCGCCGCAGATACAGCTGCATAATGTTTTATTTGGCTATTTAACTATCCAGATATAGAGTTTGGACCCTGCTGATTTGTGTAGAGCAGCAAAGGCAGCCAATCAGGAGCCACTCTCTATTAGCTCATGGTTGAAAAAAGAGTGCATGTTATGACCAGCAGGGATCAAGTTTATGGACCAGAGGCTAGAGTATTCAAATGTTATCATGTCAAAAGGTTAGCACCACAGATTTATCAACCTACTACAAATGTGTTTTTGCATTTGAAACTTGATAATTCTAAATGATTTTAATTAAAAGTTAAAGTGGAAAAAAAGTTAAAATTGCTTTTACTTTTCTTGAGGGTCAGAGCTTTAATCTCAGAGTCATTGTCTCATTTCAAATCAATGTCCTTAAGAGCCAACAAAATATGATTAAAATATATTTTTTTATAATTCAGGATTGAACTGCATGTTTTCTCTCTAAAGTGAGAGCCCTCACAGACAAATTTTTGTGTCTTGTGCAGGTTACACTCAGCTGTGTGACTGGTGGAGCGTAGGAGTGATCCTGTTTGAGATGCTGGTGGGACAGCCGCCCTTCCTGGCCCCCACACCTACCGAGACTCAGATCAAGGTCAGTGAAGAAGAAAAATATTCCGCATTTTGATTTAGAAATTAAATCATCGACCAGTGGATGAATGAATGTCAGCATGGTGACCCTGGATCAGTTCAGTCACAGCAGGCAAGGCCAGTTAAAACAGTGCCACGTTGTATCCATCTTTCCCACCCCTTTCTGGGCAGCTTCCAGGTGTCAATGTGACTTCAGACATCATCTTTGCTGCTGTTCACCAAAGCTCAGCAAGGTTTGACTCCAGCTATAGAAGACTGTTACATTTCCTCAACTATGAATCAGAAAAGTAAACACACTCCATCCAACGGCTCAGCTTAGCCACTTAAAGGTCCAGTGTGTAATATTTAGAAGAATCACAAATGGAATATAATATTCATAGGTGTGTTTTCATTCGTTTGTAATCATCTAGAAATAAGAATCTTTGAGTGTGCACATTAGAAAAAAAGATACAAAATAGTCACTTTTGTGGTTAAATTCATGCTGATTAATCTTGAAATGCTCACCTCTTCACAAAGTAAATAAAATAGCTCATTTCAAATACGTAATCATTAATAAGTTTGCTTATTGAATAAAGCTTTGTGGCTGGTGTGGCGCTGCACATGTGCTCCTGAACAGCTGGCTGAACTTAGTGTGAGATTGTACAGTGTTAGTTAACCACTGTATCTAAGGTCATGAATGCATTTTCAATCTCTCAAATGTTTTATTTATATATTGATCATTTATTTGATTTTATTTAACCTTTATTTAGACAGGTGATCTCATTGAGACACAGGGTCTAACAACTGCGTCTGACACTACTGTAGCTATGGTAACCTTGTGTATTGTATCTCTTCTCTCCGCAGGTCATTAACTGGGAGAGCACCCTGCAGGTGCCTCCTCAGGTCAAACTGAGCCCGGAGGCTGTCGACATCATCGGCCGCCTCTGCTGCTCCGCAGAGGACCGTCTGGGTGCCAATGGTGCTGGGGAGATCAAGGCTCACCCCTTCTTCACCCAGATGGACTTCTCCAGCAATCTACGGCAGCAACCAGCCCCCTATCGGCCCAAGATAGCCCACCCGATGGACACGTCTAACTTTGACCCTGTGGAGGAGGAGGGTGGCCCCGGTGCGTGGAGTGACAGCGGGGACAGCACACGGGCCTTGGACATGCTCTGTTCCCCACACGGGAAGCACCCAGAGCACGCTTTCTACGAGTTCACCTTCCGCAGATTCTTCGACGACAACGGCTGCCCCTTCCGCTACCCTAAACCGCCTGAGGCCAGCGAGGGCCCGCCAAGCGTCACTGGAGCCACCTGCATGGGCCCAGAAGAGGAGGACGAGCAAGAAGAAGATGAGGAAAAAGAGGAAGATGAAGAGGAGGAGGGAGAGCAGGGGGAGGGATGTGAGCCGGTGTACGTGTAGAGCTGCAGGCTTCCTGAACGGCGTGTGTCTGTTACTGCCGACTAATGCTCATCATTCAGCTCACAACCCTCCCACTTCTTCTGTGTGCGTGCGTGTGTGTGCGTGCGTGTGTGTGCGTGTGTGTGCGTAGAGGTGTGCATGCTACACAGATGTGTCTGTGTGTATTTATGCATATCTGGCATGTGTGACTGTTAAGTTGCAGGAGCGGGACTAACCAACATCGCCACCTTGTGGAATCTATAGTGTGTCCACAGTGACTTCAAGTACAAAAACTCCCCTGATCCGGGACCAAGAAACAACATTCTGTATGTGACTGACTGCATCAATGGTGAAGTTAGAAGAACAAGACTCAGAAACTGTACAGGTTGAAAGGAGTTTAGTTAATATTCTTGGGAATGTAAGCATGTCTGGATCACAGACAAGGTTTCTAATTCGAGGACTGCGTCTGGATCTTCCAGCGGTTTCTTGTCCCATTCCTTCCACCCTTGGTCTTACGGACAACTGAAACGCCTCCGCGGTGATCTTCTGACACAGGAGCTACTCCCTGTTCAACCTGAGCTGCTTTACACTCAAATATTGGACACGACAATGTGAAGAGTGGAACCAGTTTACTCTAATCGCGGGAGTGGGGGAGGGGGGGACTGAATAAGCAACACGCCTTTTCACAGCTGCTGCAAAATAAGCTACAAAGACACAATGCATGCACGTGCACACACTCACGCACACTTTTTCAGTGCAGGTCGAGCTCAGTCACAAAGGGCGAAACAGGCGTTGGTGTCTGCAGGTAAGTGTCCATATCGACGTTTCAAGAAGTTGGCTCAGACTAGATGGACGAATAAATTCTCCCAGATTCCAGAAAATGCGTCCTTTTTTCTACGTTTAAATTTCTACATTTGTAGCAGATCACATTTCAGAAAAGTAGAATCAAATTAATTAAACACAATATTTTTGGTTGCTCCACCTATCTTCTATATCCACAGCTGCCTCATTTGGTTGTTTATTATAATGTGTTTGGTCCTTCAGATGGAGCCTCAGAGGTCGCTGTTACAAATATCCTCGTGTTCATAACATTGTTTTGTTACTGATTCTCTACTCGAACTGACAATTTCAAAGCTCACCTCCAAAACCTCAACCTCAAACTCAAGTTCTGTTGTAGCCAGATCCAAGACTGAACCACTTATTAAAACCAGAAATGTCACTAAGCCTGACATGCAGTGAATTTCTGCTCATAAATGACAGGAAGAATTGGATCAGATGAGACATGTTCCTGCCCTGAAATGATACTTCTTGTTTACTGATGGGCAGGTTGCTCACGCAACAGAATGAATCCCAACCGGATTCATGTAAGAGAAATCACAGCCAAACCTAGACAGGCCTGAACACGTCGGGTCACATTGGCCTGAGTCGGTTTCTGACTGAGAATCAAAACTCTAACACAGACACAGACACACACACACACACATATACATACACATTCACCAAGATGCACATTTTTTTTACAGCTATTTTGCAAAGATCAGTCCCACAGTTGAGTTGTAACTTAACCAGCCTCTTCTGTCTTCAGGAGGCAGTCATGAAAACACAAAGCAACATGTTCTTACAACAGCAAACGTGATAGTATGACTATGTGCAATACAAAAAATACATTATATATAGTTTTCTAAACACTTAATATCCTTTTGAACGTTTAGTACTGAAATGTACAAATATATTGGTTTATATATATTTTCTCTTTTCAGTTACAACATGCTGCTTAATATTGTGGTTAATATTATTTACATTATTATAATTGTTATTACCTGTTTTCTTTTGTTGTGGCTTAAAGGAGTGTTGGCTTCATCGCCAAGTGTGCTTGGGTTTTTGCAAGTAATGAGCTGTGTGCCTTTTCTATTTGAATGTCGGGGTGCGTGTCGAAGGAGACGGCCGTGATGACGATCGGTGTTTGCAGAACATTGATGGTAGACCCTTCGCCTTCTGCTGCCAGGCTGGTCCTGAACGCAGGAGAGGAGGGTGTAAAAGGATTCTGGTTCAGGAAGAGATAGAACAGAATTAGAAATAGTCAGAGGAAGAGGAGGAGTGAAGCAGGTTGGATTCAGGAAATGTCATTTGAAAAAAAAGAGTGAATAGCTTTCTCTATTTTACAAAACTGCAAACGGTTAAACTTTCAACAAAGAGTTAGTGTTTGGTACATTTTCTTTATTTATCTGAAATGACCACAAGTTTGAGTGTTGATTAATGCTGTACTGTTACTACAGACCTGTGCCATGTTCTGTATTGGAGCTCTGCTATCATCCAGTGCCTTCTTGCTTGTTGACAATCAGTAAACAGTAACTGCTCTCTCTGTGTCAAACCAAACTGTTTAGTCAATTAATACTAAACTGTTCCAGCAGTATTCTGAATTTGACTTAATGACTGGGAATGCTGAAGAAGTCACAACTTTTAAGTGATTCTCTGATGCATAACTGGCAGATTGATGGAAAACGTGGATCAGATCTGTTACAGAAGATTTTGTTGTTTTTTATTTTTATTTTGCTTGACAATGTAAAGTTTGTTTTTCTGTAAATGTGCCTTGTGTTCAAAAGTGAGCAGCACAATCTTAAAAGATTGCCCTCTTATTATCATCTCTTTTTTTCACGGACCTCTTCTCTACCTGTTTATCATTATTCTTGATATGGGGATGTTGACTGAGCACGCTCTGTTTCACATTAACACTGGCTTTGTTTACTTGCACCAACAATCCTCCTCTTATTATAGTCAGTAACTTACAGTAAATAGAATTAGATCAGGCAGAACTCAACTTTTGACATCAAGGACTGATGACATGTAAGATATGTGTCTCTTTCCCTTAAAGTCACATGGAAATACACGGGAATAGATGGCATTTTCCTTTAACTCAATGTATTTCTTGTTGCAGCATATTGTTTTAGCAAAACAAAACAAAAAGTAAATTTGTAAAGCTGCTGTTTTTTTCTAGATCGAGGTGGATTGTTCACATTTTAAATTTCATATCACAGACTGACATTTGTTGCATGGATACACAGAAAACCTAATGTACTCACAATGTGAAAGAATCTTTGCTGTTTGTCATGAATCTATGTAATAGTGGCTTAAAGTGAACTAAAGCCAGTGTCCTGCATGTAAACACAGCCAGGGTTGCATGTGAGCTGCTCGGATAAACCACATTCTGCTACAGAGCAGCACCCCTGGATCAATTATGGGTGAAGTGTCTTGTCCAAGTTCTCCATCACTGAGGTTAAAGCACGCGGGGTGCTGTTCTTTCACTCTTCCCCATTAAGTTTTTCTTTGAGCTGGTCCAGTATGTGAGCAGACATCCTTCCATTTCTCTCAACCTCCCGCTGACTGCGTTGCCAATCCACACTGACCAGGACGGACTGCTTCGTGAAAAATAGCTTTATAACGAGAGCCGCAGCTCTCTGCAGAGTGCGTGAGGTGTTTCCTGGATGTGTTTTTAGTTTTTTTGTTTGTTTTTTAAGGTTAGAGAGTGATGACTGACAATCTTTGACTGACTCGATATCCTCCGATCTGATTTCTTCACGAGACTTACTTGTGTATCCTTCTCATTTTGTATTTTTACTCTAAGGGGCCTCTTCTTGTCTTCGAAGCTCCTTAATGTATGATGCAATTCTGTTACTCTTGAATTTATATTTATACAGATATACATATTTTTTGTATCTTTTTTCCCCTTTTTTTTTCAATTTCCCTTGTGCTAATGTTCAAAAATCCATGTCTACGCAGTATTATAAATGGTGTAATGTGGACAGCTATCTCTTTTTTTACATTTATGTATGAACTGAGAATTGTAAAAATGCTTTCACAGTCCTTGTGTGTAAAATGTATGTATAAATTAAATTAACCAACTTGGAGACTCGTGCTTCATTTTAGTGCATTAGTGTATGAATGGAAGGTGATATATTACCTGTTATTTGTAGCCCTGTCATAGCTTGAGAGTTAGATATTCATTTTTGTTTAAGTCTAATAACATTGGGCTCATAAGCAGAAATCTGTTGTATACCATGTAAATTGAATGTAATGTACCATATATTTTATTTTTTTACAATATATCTGCCTTAAGGGATTGATAATCAGGGTAGAGACTAAACTATTCAAACTTATACAAATCTGTGACATTAATGTTCCCGACATAAACTCAAAAGTTAGTCAATCTTGAATTATTGTTTATAAAATAAAACCTTAATTGGACAAAAAAGACTTAAAACTTCACAGTTTGACACAAAGTGGGGCAATGGATCACTGTAAATATAAAAGGTATTCCTTTTTGACATTGACATTATTTGACTTTGTCTGACAGCTCCATTCAGTAGTTGACATTTTACATAAATAAAAGTTAAAACACAACTGTAAACCAGCATATTCTTGCATTGAAAATCTTTTTTCACCAGCAAATTATACTTTAAGTAGCCCAGAAGTACCAGCTTTTCTAAATGGACCCTTTCTGCATGTTCTCATATATAATATTTAGTTACTATTGCCAATGCCTTAACATAGCAGCAACATTTTACCATACAGTTGGGTGGATTATATCTGTGCATTATATTTCATTAACTTCATTAATGTAAAACCTTAATCTGCAGTGTATAGCTGTCAAATGTGGTGAGGTAAACGGTGTTATTGTGTCTTCTGAAATGCAGAAGTATTCAGTAGTATAAAAAGGAAATATCAAGTACAAAAACGTATTACTACTTTATTACATAAATGATATGTAGGTATGGGTAAAGTACTTGGAGCAAATGGATAGTTACTTTACACTGTATTTTTTTTTTGTACTTGTCTAACAACCACATTTGATAATAACATGTCTGCTCACAGCAGATAAGAAGTGTCTGCACAATAATTTCCAATTAAATATTCCTGTTTCTATTCTGTCTTGTCCACATGTTGCTTAGCGAGGAGGACTTTTAAAAACCACGACTTGAGTGTTGACAGTAGAGTAAATATGTGTTCTTGTGTGGATTGCATAACCCGCTGCCTCCACGCTGAGGTTGTTGGGTTGAACCCTGCCGGGTACCAGCGCTGTAATCCCACAATGCAGAGCGCATGGCGCGTCATTGGAGAGGGACGATGATGGCGGCGGTCGGTGCACCAGAAGTGATCACACAGCTGGAAAGCGCTGCCAAAGTTTTAATGGTGAGAAATTCAGCGTTGTTTTGTAGCCATGAAGGAGACGACACATGTATCTGAACTTTGTCTGGGCTGGGGTTCGGCGGTCGGGGACGGCCGCGGTTGTTTGTTTCTTCCCGGTTTTTGTTGTTAAATGTGTTCAGTTTTTTTTTTTTTTTTTTTTTACCGGAGAAACGGTATGTGAGCGATGCGTGGCGCCTTTCCTTGCCTGTCTCCATCCCGCAAAAAAATCCGCTCACCACCGTCACATTCCCCTCCGTTTTCCCCCTCTTCTTCTTCTTCTTCTCCTTCTCCTGAGCCCCCGCCACCCTAACACATTACCCCACGTTGAGACACTTTCCACTGTGGCTCCGTTTTCCAGAAACTTAAGCGGTTCGTGTCGCTGCGCTTTCAGCCATTAACGTGACATTAAGTTTTATGACTCTGGACACAGTTGGAGCTTCTCGGTGCTGTCGGCTTCACACATACACACTGTTGAGTCGCTCGGTGTGTAGCTTTAGCTTATCCTGCACCTCCTAAAAAAAAATACTCATTTACATCAAGTGTTTGCCTCCTACCTACCCCCCCCACCCTCCACTCTCCCCCCCCCCCACCCTCCACTCTCCTGTGGGATAAATAGGACCGAGTACACCAGCTAAGAGCAAGAGGCTAACCATGTGCATGTCATGAGTCTGTGTGTTGGATACATTAGCTAGCTAGAGTCTGCTCTTGCTTTCTGCCATTTTGCTCTCTCTGGTTATGTATTTTTAAACTAAACGTAATGGACATGTTTGCCCTGTTTTTAAATATTGTATTGTATAATGGACTCCACACACCGGCCATACAAGAGCTTTCCCCTCACATTCAGTCAGCAGGTGTCCCCTGAATGCATGGGGGACAGTGTGTTGCTGTAGGTGTTGTGGATCATGATTGAACATGAACATTTTAGGCGGTTCAGATTAACCAGAGGTGTAAACAATGAGTTGCCTAAAATAGTGTAATTCAGTAATGGTTGGATAGAGACAGTGAATGTATCTTTTTACTCAAAGTCAGCTGAACAGAAGAGTGTGGTTGTCAGTGTCACGTTATATCTGTTCCAGGTTGGTGGGTTTTTTTTTTTTTACATAATAAAGCACTGCTTTCAATTCCTGTCATCTACTATGGCAGAAGCCACTTTAAACAACTCGTGCTAAACTCTTGTTTCATTATGAATCTAATCTCATGTTGTACTCATTCACACCCTGTACGCACTCGTTTTCTTTCATAGATTATTTGATAGACTTTTTAGCCTTTTATTGGACAGTTGATGGTATAGAACGAGAGGAGGATGACTTGGATAAAAGAGTCCCGGCGGGGATCGAACCGCAGATGTTGCGGGTACAGTTCTGTTCATGACATTCCCCAATACATATTGTCTGGTACCTGGAGGACCTTCATTCAGGGCTCTAAATCATTGTAACCTATCAAATCAAATAGTGAATATTGTGAATCGGCACGTGCCTACAAGTTATACTTTCTTTATTATAGTTATTACTATGTCAGAATTCTCTTGGCACAGTCTTAAGTTCCAGTTGGACTTTATTTTTATACACAGTCCACAGTGTTAACTAAGCTAAGCTATATAGGATTTCCCATACTTACACAGACTTTTTGATATACAGTTGTGGCAATCGTTAAATATGAGTCTAACTCCCAGTTGAGTGTATTTTATTCAGATTTCTTCTGAATGGATGCGGTTCTGAGCTGTGCAGTGATGTTGATGTTTATCATTGATATTAAAGCTTTATTTCAGGTATTGTGAACCACAATGTGCAGATGTTATTGTCTCGATTAATCAGGGGTGTAACAATAAGTTGTATCATTCAGCACAAGGCTCTTGATTCAATACGTAATTGTTGAATTGAACAGTTTATTCAGAATTGGTGTAATGTAGTGCTGCTGAAATGTATTGCTTTATATTGAGGGTTGTTTGTACTATTTAGTCTACCCTCATTGGGAGAGAGAGAGAGAGATGGAAAGTTCTAACCTTCATGAAGGTTGGATCTTATTGCAGTTGTATGAGACGAGTGGTTCTCAAACTGATGGTCAGGATCCCCAGAGGACTCCAAAGGTTGAGAACCTCTGTATTAGACTAGACTAGAGGATACTGAGTGTGCATGGTGAATAGGTGAAAAGTGTGGTTGTCAGTCTGAGAACATTATTATATCATTGGACTGAAGGAAACATTTTGACGCTACAGGGCTCTCTCATCAGACATATGGTTTATATGACAGAACGTAAAACAAATTATTTTGGCGCTCAGAATCACATCCATCGTGCTGATGTCATCGTCCAACAGACCAAAGAGAAATATAAACACTTACATTACACTTTGGGTACCTCATCAGAAATCACAACTGCTGCAAAAATACAGCTGTAGGTATCACAAATATGATACACAGAAAATAGAACAAATCTGGAAGAATCTGTTGATGTTCTTATATCATAAAGACTGTGTTTGGATAGGAACGTGTCCTGTGGTTCAGACTAAACTTCCATTTTAGAAAGCTGAATGTACCCTTTGGATACAAGTTTTTATTGCTCTTGTAACATGAAATTAAATTGGAATGCTCTGAATCGGTACATGACTAAAACGATTCTTCTAATGTCACAAACTCTGACTCGTATTTTCCTGTATACATAAGTATCTTATTTTTTTTACTAGTATGAGACATTTTAGAGAGGATTCTGTTGGAACTTCTTGTCAAGGTGCACAAGAGCAGAAAGAAACAGTCCATAGGACATAGTCTATGTTCACACTGCAAGCCTTGAAGCTCAATGCTGATTTATTGCTCAGATCTTTTTTGTTTGTTTGGCTGTCACATTATTCTTGAGATGTGGCCCATATCAGATTCCAGTGTGAACAGGTCATGGTCCTGAAGTGACCTGTGTGACAAACATGGATCTAGAGTTACATAAAGTCACATATAATACTGATATGACTGAGGTCACATTAAAAAATCAGGCTTGTATCTGATTTGGACCCACATATGAACATACATTCACACATCGAAATAAACAATTTAGCATTTCTGCTTCGGTTCACAATGAACCAAAGGATTGATGCTTTCACACTGGATCAATACAGGTGCATCATAGCTTTTTAGAAGAGATGCATGTATAGATTTTTTTTTTTTTGGCCCACTTGAAGACAGCACAACATTGATATACTATCATACTACCATATAAAATATCAGTTTACCGCAATTGTATTAACAGTTGATTTGCACAACTGGCGGACACAGAGCAGCATTATCATTCATTTAGAGTTGTGTGTCTGGCCACTCTCCTTTTAGCTCCGGTTTGCTCCCCACTGCATCCTGAACAAAATATCTTTCTCTTCAGCTGCTAAATGCTCAGCTATGCTCGCTAGCTCGTGTCTTTGTCTGCTTTTTGTGGTGCTGGACAAGTGGTGTACAGTGGGTTTACCAGACCATTTTTGTTGTGAACGACTGTTTGTTGGGGCTGAAAATTATGCAGATGAGAAAACAGTAAAGTTGTGGGCTGTAAAATTCAAAACCTAAAACATTTCAGTTAGAAGCCTCAGAGTTAATTGATGAATCTCTTTGTCATCACACTTTTTGACACTTTTCACATTGTACATATACATATACTCGGTAATTGTTAAAATAAGAACATTCATCAGTGCAGCTCAAGAATTTCATCAAGGTAAATATTCCATGTTATTGAGATTTAGATTATTTAA